AGGGGACTCTCTTGCTCGCCCGGCCCCCTGCACCGACTCTGACGAGCGTGGCGCGAGGCACACAGACTCGTCTTCGTGTTCGATTACAAACTTTTTCATCATTTTCTGTTAACAAGAAATCAAGATTGTGTATAAATTACACAGAAATGTGTCAGTGTCCTGCACACTAAATGACCTGATGCAATTTGTTTACGTAGACTAGACGTGCCTTTGTTCACATCAAAATGAAATATAAATTTGTATCAAATTTGTATTCGATGAAGATGTGAACAAAGACACGTCTTTCCTAGTGACAAAAATGGTCGCTTCCCATTGGGAGTGTAGTGACAAAAATGTTAACATTAGAGAAGTATCGAACAGATTTTAACCGAAAGTACAGAACGATCTATATGGATTCTGTTTCTGGGCTCAGAATTTTAAACAGTGCAAGAGCGCGCGCTTGTATGCAATAACGAAAACATTGTGCGAAATTGCGACAATGTTGTCGTGCGGCAGAGCTGCCCCCTCCCCCTGCTCCGCTCCCGCCTTTCATATAGCAGTAACCGACGGGCGGGGCGGGGCGGGCGATACAGTTGCGCTATAAATATCAGCGGGAGTCGCCGAAAGCTCCCTGGAGCGGAACACGTTAGGAGGGCGCTGAGGTAGCTGGCTCCGCGCTTCTGAGAGAGAGAGCGCGAGAGTAAGAGAGCGCGGGACTGAGAGAGCGAGAGACAGCAGAGGAGAGGAAAGGGAAATTGAGGAAAATGTTTGGAGCTTTCGCACTATAAAGGAAGCGGCACGCCCTCTGCTCTCTTATTTATTGTCATCATAATTTACCGAATCGCCATTTTTTTTTTAAAGAAAACTTCCTCTCCTTCTTTCGCTGCTGTCTGCGTCGCGGTGGCGAGGGCAGTCAACAGCCACCCACGAGGACGACGCGGGGGCGACCCGCAGGGGGTAGATGGACCGTGCCTAAAGGCGGAGCCGTGCTGTGTCGTGACGGCCGCGCTGTCTTGTTTTGAAAAAGCTGCCCAACGGGGCTTACACGTACAAACGACCTCAAATGGTCGTTTGTCTGTCTGTTTCGACACGCCCGCAATTTCAAAAGCCTTTGGTCGTACTAGTTTCAGCTGCAACCGTTTTTTTTTTTTTATTTTTTTTTTGTCTGACCGTGGAAACAAAACAGCGATTTGTTTTTCACTTTAAAACATTAGCACAATTGCATGGCATACTGCATTATCACTGCTAAAGCATGTGGCATGTGTGTGTTCACGACATACCACACTCTAACTAATATTCTCGGGCTGGTGCGAAACTCTTTCTGTTCACATATCTACAAATTCGCGCATGCGGGCGAGGGGGTTTTATACCTTGCGTAGTACACTTGACCTGAGTATTACACGGTATTACGAACAAAGGTATACTGTAAAATATCAAAATATGCTTTAAAAATGGTAGTTTTTTCCATGTAATACCGGCGTTATACGACGTAATACAGTGTAATACGGAGTACTCTGTACACGTGTTTTTGGAGTTAAACCCCCCTCGGGCATGGGGCTGGCCGGGCAGGCCTCTGTCGTGCCGCAGGCTGGCAGGCACATGCGGCCGCGGGACACGCCAAGCACAGCAGCACGTCCGCCGTCCCTTCCCATGCAGTGCTCAATGAATCGGAAAAG